GTTAACAGTTAATATCTTAAATATATCGTAACATAAAATCTTTTGCGTCTTTTTCGTAACTGCACATTCCGGAATGCTTTTTCCGTAAGGAACATAGTAAAATAGTTTCCGTAAGGAACTATTTCGTAAGTATTCTTACGAAATAATTTGTTTCGCAAGTTTTCTTTCGCAATGCTTTATTACGGAATTTTATTTTTTTATATTTTCGTATAGCGCGTTATGGAATGTGCATTTTTGCATTTGCAACTTCCGCAATAACAATTCTATTACGGTAGATAAAGATGCGAAATTTTCGCAAGTTTTGTTTTTCGGCGAACAACCCTAATAAAAACAAGTTCTACAAGCAAAAACTTAAATTTAAGTTTCCCGCCAATTTCATTTGTTTTGAAATAATATAGTTCTTAGCAAAATGGCGGAAAACACCCAGAAAAACCACCTACGTAAAAAAGACGTTTTTTAAACGTCTTCTACCCGTTTTAAACGTCTTTTGGACGTTCAAAAGACGTCTTTTTTAGGTCCGGTATGTATATATATATATATATATATATATATATATATATATATATATATATATATATATATATATATATATATATATATTTATATATATATATATATATATATATATAATATATATATATATATATATATATATATATATATATATATTATATATATAATATATATATATATATATAAAATATATATATATATATATATATGTATACATATATATTTATATATATATATTTATACATATATATATATATATATATATATATATATATATATATATATATATATATATATATATATATATATATATATATATATATATATATATATATATATATATATATATATATATATATATATATATATATATATATATATATATATATATAGAGAGAGAGAGAGAGAGAGAGAGAGATTTGTGATAGTTCTATTGTTTCGAAAGGAAAATTAATGCATTTCAAAATTAATTTATATTCGAGTACAAATTTCTTAAAATTCACAACCACCTAATGAGATTCAGCAAGTTAAATCACTTACATCTTCAGGGTTATTTTGAATTTTGTTGTTGTTGTTGTCATTGTTTGACAGCATAGGTTATTATTTGTGCATATATACTTACAAGAAAGAGTGTACAAAAAAAAAAAAAAATCACGGTTTTTTTGAATTTTACATCAATACAGAAAGTTTATTTAATTTTAGTATTTTTCAGAGTGTTTAAAAGGTACCAAAATATACTTGGTCAAAAGAGTTTTCACTCGCAAAAATTTCAAAATTTCAAAATAAAAGTTCAATAAAGTTTATCTTAGAGACTTTATCTGTTGCTAATTTAAAAAAAAGGAAGAAAACAGTGTATTTGTTAAAGTAATTGTGAAAAGCATATAAATGTGTTTTTTATTAAATGTTATTATCAAATGACGCAACCCAGCAAACATTGTTTGAGTAGATTTACAGTAGACCTATATAGGTATTTTTGAGGCTTTCATTGGAGTTTTGCTTATCTATTACTTAGTGGACCATAAGTGGGAGCCTATATAAATGGCCAGCCGATAACTTTCCGACGTTAATAGAGTCTATTAATTGGCTAACCACCTTAACCGGTTGCCACTAATTAACCGATTAGCAAAACTACAGTGGACTGCTCAAAATGTCTACATAGGTCCCATGAAACTCCACTATAGAATGTTTTCTGGAATCATCATTCCTTTAGTGTATGGGATCATCATTACTTTAATATATATTTCAAAAGTCTCAAAAGAAAAAATTTTCAATTAATGCACTCATACATTTTTTAAAATCAGCCAACCAGATTATGCTTATTCCGAGCCTGTAAAGAGTTTTCAAATGCGCTTTCAGTATATGCCTGAAAACTTTTCATTTTTCAGGGAATTTGTTTTGATTCAAAATTTACTGCCAAATTTACATCACTGGTCATAGAAATTACATCAGTTTTACTTCATAGAAATAATATCAACCGTTAATAAGTATAAAAAAATAAAAAAAAAATAATGCCATTTCATAATTCCTTTTTTTTTAAAGTTGCTTAGTTTTTCAATTTTATTAAACTAACCTTCGGTTATTATATAAAAACGTTTTTCTTTTTATATAAAAAGGAAAATTAAGAAAATGACAAAATAAGTCATATAGGATAAATTAACCCAATTCAAACCCAAGAATATTCTTAAAAACAAACATTGTCCATTAAGAGATTAAATGAATTGTCAAGAATGTTTTTATATTATTATCTCTATTAAAATTTTTGTGTTGATTATGTTTGTATTTACACAGGTCTGAGGTGCTTGTTCAAATCCAGTTGCATATAAACAAGTTGCTTTGTAAAATTAATTGTGTACAAATGATTTATACACAATTTTAATTTTTTTAAAATTATTTTTAACATAAATTTTTTTTGTAATTAGTTAAAGTTCTAGATTGCTTTAAATGAACATAAATTAGATTAAAAAGAACAAAACTCATTAAATAATAGAATTCCATTTATTGTTTTTGATAAATAGTTTTTATTTGAGAAGCCTCCAATTTTTTATTTATTTATTTAGAAACTTAGTGCTAGTTGAGTAACTTTTACAAGGAATTAAAATAAGTTTAGGGAAGAGTGGAGGACACAGCCTATGTATCATGGTCCTCCATATGTAACATAGGGCACCATAAAATATTGTTAATGTAAAGGTATTTTAAGAGTTGTGGAACCTATATGGGGAAACAGTTACTACTAGAGCTATGTTTAAAAAAAAAATTTTATCATTTGAAATCATTAAACCTACCACGAGTTGAATAATTTGTTATTTTGATGCGAAGTAATTTATTATTTTTTAAAGTTTCTACGTTTTTAGGTATGTTGTTAATCTGCAAGTTGCATTATTTTGTAAACTACAATCCATAGGCATTCATTCTACAATCATAGGCATTAAACAAAAATTGAAAAAAAAAAAAAAATTGATATTAAAAATATCAACTTTCTTTGTTTTTTTGTTTTGATTGTTTTTTATTAGCAAGTATGTCTTAACTTAAAACAGCATTTGTGTTGTACTGTAGAAATTAAACCATTTGCAACAAACATCGAAAAGTGTAAAACCTTTTAACTGTAGAATAATACTCTATTGTGCTATAAACAGTTCTAAAAATCATTTATTTTAATACTTAAAGGCAATTTTTAAGAGATTTATGTAAATATAATACAAGGAGATTTAATATTTTGATGCAAATTTGATACAAAGCCATTATTGATGCTTAAGAATGACATTTAAAACTATATTATTTGGATTTCTGAAATGTAATTCGGACCATTGGATGCATTATTTGGGTTAAAATTATTAATTTGTTTGTCTTTTAAGTAGAAATTTACTTTTTCTGTATGTTTTATACTTTTTATTTACTTTTTTAATGATGCTCATAGTTTGTATCCAGGTACCCCATGGTTACCTTGATAAAAAATTTGAATTTAACTTTAAAGTCTTACTAGAAAACCTATTATATTTTAGTAATTATAAAATTTTGTAGACAAAATTTATTCTACAAATTAAACTGATCGCCTAAAAAAAGTGTATAAAAAAATTGCAATAAAATAAAAGCCAAAAGTGTATCGTGGTACCCCACCCTCCCCTACAATATTTTATAGTTAATTTTCCTTTAATGTTTCTCTCGTTTCTCCGCGCAGCGGCCTTGCTCGTCAAGGTTTGTGTTTCGGAGTTATAGAGTTGAGAGAGGGTTATAACCACAAATAAGTAGCCTCCTCGTCTGTAGTGGCCTTCTCGGCCTTGAGGAGGTGAATTAATATATAAAAAAAAAAAAAAAATATATATAGTTTTAAACCGCATATAAAAATTACTTCTTCCCTGATCTTATAGAGATTGACTATTTCTATAAAAATGCTTTGAAGTTTCTATGAAAATCTATCAATCATAGAATGCAACCTCTGTAAGAATAATAAAGAAAGATTGTATTTTTGTTTTGATAAATAAATAGATTGCTGTCTATGGTCTTTTAAACCCATTTATAGAATTGATTTTATAGATTTATATTATTCATTTATAGATTTTAGAATTGTTATTACTTTTATACTTTTGTACCTGGAATTTAATGTTCAAAAAATAAATTTACAAGGAAGCAATAATAAACATATGAAGCTATAATTTTATTATATTTAATATTTGTAGTTTTAAAATTGTGTGTTTTTGATGGGTTTCCTTTAATGCCATTTTGTTAATTTAACATTCATTAAAAAAAAAAGGTTTTATCAAAATAAAAAAACTAAAATAAATAATAAAATTGTGAAACAAAATTTTTTTTTAAATGTTCTTGTAAAGAAGAATTATTATTTGCAACAAAATGACAGTTAAAATTTAAAAATATTTTTAGCTGAGACCTGGAACCAATTTTTATTTAAAAAGATGATTCTTGTATTGTTTCTGGACTAAATCTTTGACAATTTTTAAATTCTTGATTTTGCCTGGTTCTTTCGAATTAAGAAATATTATAGTGTGTTGTTAGTTTAAATTTTTTGTATGTAATCTCTTCTTTGTTCAGACTTTGTAGGAAACATGTCTCATTAAATGCCATGTCAATCGTTAACTTATTATTTTTATTTTAGGAAATATGATTTATTACCATTATAATTGTTATTATTAATATTGATATTTTTAATACTGTTATCTTATTGATGTTATCATTTTTATGATTATTTTTGTTATTACTATTGAAAAATTCCAAATAGTTATCAAAGGAAAATAACAAGCTTGTTGTTGTTGTTGTTGTTGTTGTTGTTGTTGTTGTTGTTGTTGTTGTTGTTGTTGTTGTTGTTGTTGTTGTTGTTTGACAGCATAGGTTATTATTTGTGCAAATATACTTACAAAATAGAGTGTACAAAAAAATTAATGATTACAGTTAAAATTTGAAAGTATTATTTTAACTGAATGCTTCTTAATGTTTAAATATCTGTTTTTTAAAAAATATTTCCATTTGATTTTAAGCCCCTGGAGATGATGGTAGTTCTCAACCTAAGTGGTTTCAAACTTCGAAAACATTCCTAAACCATTCATGTCCAATTGATGAACAGCTTCAAGTCACTAAAAATATAAGCTATCTTCTACCAGAAGATTGTGTTCTAGAAGATGGTTCTATTTCAGAAATAACAGAATACACAGACATAATTTGTAAAAATAAAGTTAAAAATATTTATTATATTGTATCAAAAGCTAACTTTGGAACAGGATACATCATTATTCAAGACTTTCTTATTACACATAATTTAAGCACTGGAGCTCAATCTTGTTTAAATGGCTACTGTATAGAGTTTGGAAGTAAAAAGAAGAAATTTAGAGAGGATTTAGAAAATATTCTAAAATCGTACCAATCTCAAAAAAGGTCAGCTTCCAAAATTTTATATTTAAGCAAGTCTTTGTTGAAACAACATGAAGATAAGGTTGTTAAAAGACTTAATACAAGATCAGTTTATAGAAGGTATGCATATATTTATTTAATTCTCCTCTTTGAATGTAATGGCCTTTTCTGAAAGTTCAGGGAAAGTTTACTACAAATATAGTAAAGTAAAGCTACTACCAATGTAGTGAAAAGTGGCCACTACAAACATAGTGAAGTAAGGCCACTACAGCCAAGGAGGATACTCATTTTTAATTTTTTTGTATTTTCAATTCTCATTTAACTCTAAACTCTAAAACTTGAACCTTGTTAAACAAGGAAACTGCACAAAGAAATAGATTAAACACTGTAATTCAAAAGGTACATTAGGTACTACATAATAAATGTACATAGATTTGAACCTCAAATCTCTTGATTATGAGCTTAGTGCTCACACATCGCTAGTCTGCTACTTCAAATCTACTACAAAAAACAAAAAATGATAAAAAACAAAAACTTTTAAGTAAGTTTCAAGTTATTGTTTTTTCAAACAATAACTTAAATTTCTTGTTTCAAGAAATTCAAGTTATTGTTTGTTTACTGGGTAATAACAATGTCTCAGATTTTTATTTGAAAAGTCAATGCATGTGAACTAGAAAACTAAAGGTTCCATATTTCTTCCAAAATTTGAAAGGTTTCTTCAAAAAATGTTTTGTTACAAATTTTTTAGTAGGCTAAAAAATATCTTATCAAGTATATTATAGTCAGGCAGCAAATTTATTTTAGGCTTTAAAAAATGCTGTTGTTTTTTTCTTTTTTTAAATTTCATTAAAATTAATTAAAAATCAGTCTTTCCGATAATAAAAATTATAAAACATATTAAAATATATTTTTTTCAAGTTGTTAAACAAAGTATTTATTAAATAGTGTTGATCAGTTCAAAAGTGTTGATGGGTCAATTCATAAATATAATTATTAAATGAAAATCATTATAAACATGTTTACATTTTAAATATAATCTAAATAATGATAATAACTTATTTGAATATTGGTTTTTATATTGTGTAACAACGTTTTTATATTGTGCAACAAATATGTTTTCAATGCAAGTCAAAAATCTCTAAATAAATGGAAAAAGTATCAGGAATTTCTAATATATAACATATCAAAAAAAAAATTGTTTTATTTCTTATTATTAGATTATACTCTAATTTTATTATTGTTTACTTTTTTACTGTAACAAATAAAATACATGGAATAAATTAGAATCAATACCTTTGATTCTAATTTATTCTATGTATTTTATTTGATTACGATTGGACAATAGTATCTATTTAGACAATATATATTTTTTAATTTAACAGACGTTCGTCTCCTAATAATTCAGCACTTAAATTTCACCAGAATGAAGATGTTGAGCCTAAAAAAAGAAAGGTAAATTGTATATTCTTATTTACTTGTAGTAGTATGCAGTAGGATGCAGTTGTATTTTTGTAATCTGCTCTTTACAATCCTATATTATATTTTTTTTATAACCATATGTATATATTTTTGTGTCTTTTTTCTAACCTTTTTTATCATTTTTCTTTTTATCATTATTTGGTTATGTCTAAAACTTCTGATTGTGTATGAAGCAAAAACTTTTTTGATAATTCTAAAACCTCTAATTGTATATGATGTACTTCATTCTCTTTTTAAATAATTTTTTGTATTATTTATAATGTCTCTGATTTCTATAATTTGTAAAAATAATTGTTCTAATGTGTTAAAGTATTATATATTAAAAATACAAAATTATCAAAAAAAAAAAAATTTAAATGAATATTTTAGGTTATTTCTGTACTTGGAGTTCAAATTAATCAAAATTGCTTACGAGATGCATCTCTATCACCATGGAATCATATGAAAAAAAACATCAAAACAGAGATGAAAATGGAATGCAGACAATTTTTCCAACCAGTTGAACAAAATTTAGCTGTAAAAAAGAATGAAGGTAGGATAAATATGTTTCTTTATTCTAAATGTAGATAAATTTAAAGTTTTAGATATTTCTAAAATTAATTATTCATTCTTTTTAATTTTTTTTTCTATTTTTTGTTTAACATATTTTCCTTTTCTGTTTGTTTGTTGTTATTGTAGAATTAGATGTTAAAAATAGAGAATTAAAAAGGAGCTTCAGAAAAAGAAAAATAGAACCTGAAAATCTTCAATTTCTTGGTGATGGCATTTTATTCAGAAAGCAAGCAATTTTTGAAAGTAATTAAATTTTTTTTTATGTCAACTTTTTATTGTCAAGTTACAGTTAACTATTGAGGAGTCTCTTTTGACATTTCAAAAAAAAAAAAGGTCTTGTTGCTTTGAGTTTATTATTTTTTTTTTTTTTTTTTTTTTTTTTTTTTATTTGCATTCACTCCCAACAAGGCTGCAAGCAACCACTATTAAGTTGGGAGTTACTAGGAAAAAAAAAAGAACAGAGTTATAGAGCAAGGAAACGGTTGACAGAAGACTTAAAAAGTTGAAGGTTGTATGAGTCAGGAAAACATGAAGATGGGAGAGAGTTCCAAAGGATTGAAGTGCGGGGAAAAAAACTAGATGAATAAAAGTTTTTAGAGCATGCAGGGACAGATACAGTAAACGAATGAGACTTAGCTGAATGACGAGTAAAACGAGAATGAATTTTAGTTGATGGAACTAGAGATGATAACTCCTTTGAGCAGTGACCATGATAGTATCTGTAGAAAAGAGAAAGAGATGCAACTTTACGACGATGGGAAAGAGGTTCAAGCTTAGCAGATAGTCCAGGTCCAACAACATTTACAATGCGTTTTTGGACCTTGTCAAGAAGAGAAAGTGAATTGTTAGAAGAACCAGCCCAAATATGACAACAGTATTCCATACAGGGACGAATAAGAGATTTGTAGAGGTAGAGAATGGAATCAGAAGTAAGGAAATGGCGAGCATGATAAAGAGAAGCAACCTTAGCAGAAGCTAATTTAGCAATCGATTGTATATATGGTTTCCATGAATGGTCAGTAGTAAGCGATAATCCGAGAAGACGTAAAGAGGACGACTCAGTAAGAGGATTGCCATTCATTAATATAGGAATGTTGACCATATTACGGTAGTTGTTTGCAGTAAGCAATTGGGTTTTTTTAAAGTTGAAATTCACAAGCCACTGTGAACCCCAATCTACCACCGAAGTGAGATCAGATTCAAGATCAGCTGCTTGTTCTAGGCGATCAAAAAGAGAAGACTTTTTGTCAAGACAGGAGTATAAAGTTGAGTCATCAGCAAAAAGAGCTACTTTAGATGAAAGGTTGTCAGGAAGATCGTTTATGAAGATAAGAAACAAAACAGGGCCCAGGATGGAACCTTGGGGAACCCCAGAAGTTACTGGAAATAAAGAAGAGTGTTGGCCTTCAAGGATGACTTTAATAAACCGGTCAGAAAGAAATGATTTGATAATCTCAAAAACTTTCCCAGAAACACCATATGAAGCAAGCTTATGGAGAAGACCAGCATGCCAAACTTTGTCGAAAGCTTTAGATATGTCGAGAGCAATAGCCCTAGCCTCACCGCCTCCATCTAATGCACAATAAAATCTTTCAGTTACAGCAGTTAGCAAGTCGGCCGTAGAGCGAGAGGATCGAAAACCGTATTGATTGTCTGACAGCAGTTTATTTGACTCAAGATGAGATGTGAGGAATTTGTTGATCAAAGACTCAAAGACCTTGCTAATAACAGAAAGAAGACTGATCGGACGATAATTGGAGGGGTCAGAATTTTCTCCAGAGTTTTTGAATATTGGAACCACAGATGTCATTTTCCAACAAGCAGGAAAACAAGACTCAGTCAAACACTTGTTAAATAGTTTAGAGAGAATTGAAGAAAGTTCTGGAGAACAAAACTGCAAGACTGTGACAGGAATGTTGTCTGGACCACAAGCTGTAGACGAGTTTAATTGAGATATGACTTTAGCAACAGAAGCCGGAGTGATTTGAATGTCTAACAATGGGTCAACCTGTTTGACTGGAATGGAAGGAAGAGAATGTCCATAAGATTCAAGAGGAGAATTAGAATAAAAGTTCTTTGCAAACAGTTCTGCCTTATCCCTGGGAGAGGTAACAAGATCAGTCCCATGAATGAGAGATGGAATGTTAGATCTACCCTTGTTAACAATGCTGTTGAAGATTTTCCAAAAGTCTTTAGAGCCTAACTTCTGCGATAAGATGCGAGATTTAGTGAACTGAGAATAATGGAGTTTAGCATCAGAAAGCACCTTTTTACATCGATTTCTTGCAATAATAAATAGCCGTTTGTTCTCAAGAGAGTTGTTTTTTTGAAAAAGATGAAAAAAATGGTTACGATTGGATATAGCAGCCGCACAAGAAGGAGAAAACCATGGAGTAGAGTGAGGCTTGACTTGAAACCGACAAGAAGGAATAAAAGCTTCCATTTCAGCCTGAATCCAGGAGGTTACTTAGGAGGCGCATTTGTCAGCTGAGAGAGAAAAAACATCAGTCCAAGGACCATCACGAAGAAAATCACGAAAGGAATCCCAATCAGCTTTAGGGTAGTAGTAGGTGGTGCGATGATAAGGTGAGCCCAAAAAAGAAGTACGAGAAGAAAGATTTATAGAGATCATTGCATGGTCAGAACCACCTAAGGGAGAAAAGGGAGAAACTGAACATAAGCTAGGGTCAGAGACAAGACATGAGTCAAGGAGTGAAGGTAAATGATTAGGGTTGTCAGGAAAACGAGTCACAAAGTTAACTATCTGAGTAAGAGATTGAGAAATGCAGAAGTTAAAGGCTTTAGTGCCAGCAGGATCAGTGGTGTTAGAGCCAAGCCATTCAGTGTGATGGGCATTAAAATCACCAACAACAACAATATTGGCAGAGGGGTAAAGAGAGAGGGCATGGTCAATTTGATCAGAGATAACATCTAAAAGAGTGCAATCATGGGAAGAAGGAGAACGATAAAGAACAAAGAGAAAGATGATAGAGTGAAGAGGTGCTAGGCGAAAGCACATAAAAGAATGGTCAAAGGATTCGAACCTGATTTCACGACAAATAGGGGAATTAATGGGTATGTATACCCCTAAACCTAGCATGTGACTATTGGAGTCTTTACGAATCAAAGGATAGTACCCATCAACACTGACATCTGAAGAAGGAATTGCAGAACTTAAATTTGTTTCACTGAGTGCAAGCAAGTCTGGTGAATTTTGCAGGAGGTAAGACTCAACTGATGGAAAGTTGCTTCGTAGACCGCGAATATTTGTAAAAGATATATTAAAATATTTAGGTAGTGGGGATGGTTTTTTAGGTTTTAAATTTTTGGTTACTTTGGTCATGATTTGGGTTTAATGAGAACTTGACTCATTCATAGATAGAGCACAGCCTCCTAATCAATGAGCTATGCAGTTGTCTCAGTCCTGTTAATTAACCCTAAGCTGTGACATAGGGCTCCTTATGTGGCCTTGACAATGCACACCAAAAGCATTAACAGGGACACCATCCATGCGCAACATGGCACTGTTAATACTCTGATATTTTGCAGCTGTTGATGGAATCAGCCTCTCTGAGAGCTACCACAGAGTTCGGGAAACCTTACTACCAGCCTGCCTCAGAACCATTAAACTGAGTTTTAGAGCTGTACCCTCATATGGAGATAACAGGAAGAGTTGCATAGCCATTATCAAGGAGGCATAAGCAAAATTCTATGAGTAGATTCAAGGAGATCCAGCATTCATCATCCTAGGCAGGAAACAATGTAACACAGGTTACATCTACGCTAGCCTAATAGATGAAGAAGGGGTTCGAGGCTGGTTAGCAAAATTTTTCTTCTTACCCCTCTCTTTGGAAACTTGCTCTTTTGTTGTACAAAATGTTTTGTTTTGGGAGACAACGGTCTTAATCAATCAGCACTGAGAATGCTTTTATTTTCTAATTTGAGAAAATGAGTAAAGTTTCAAAAATGAATGAAGTTTGAAGAATAAAGATGAATAAAGAATAAAGTTTATGGAATGATCATAATCCCTGAGCTTAACCCTAACTCTGCCATTTCTAAAAATAAGAGCAGAAAAATCAAATTTAACAAACTTGAAAAATCAAATTTAACAAACAATTTAATAAATACGAACCTTTGAAAAATGATGTTTTTGTTTGACAAATTGGAACTGAAAAAATTTGACAAATTGGAACAGAAATTTGATAATTTTATTAAATATCTTTTTCTAATTTTAGTAACCAAGATGAATGTGTAAAATTAGTCATTTCAGATAAAAAACAGGTTTTTAACAGAATAAAATAAAAAAGTCTCACAACTTTTATCTTCAAACTTTGTTTCTCTATCATGTTTTTTTGCAGAACTCACCCACCAAAATCAAAACATCAAGGGTATTTAAAATATTTTTTAAGATGGCTTCACCTAGGTAGCTTCAGATAAACTCTTCAAAATTTAAAATCCAGTCTCATCTATGTTGTTAAAGTTTTTTGATATGGTTATGATGCTTGTAACTCAAACTACTGCTTACTACTTACTGCTTGTAAATACTTCCAATAAGAATAAATTAACTTGATATATCCTGATAATCAAACTCAAGTATCATTAGCTCCATTTAAGTCCCTAAATAAAATGTTGAAACCTCCATCACGGTGTTGAAATTTAAAGTGCAAAATATTTCTGCAAAAATGGCATAAAAATGGTCGATAAATTAAATATTGTTTTAATGTAAAGCCAAACATGCCTGTTCATAAACTACTCAAAAAGTTTGACTGTTGTTGTTGTTGTTGAGACTGTTGTTATAGAGACTGTTGTTATAGAAACTGTTGTTATCTATAACGTTGTTATAGAAACAAAGGTGAATAATCTTTATATCCTACAAAATAATTACATTTTTTTTTTTAAGCTAGCAACATGAGTAATGATAACATAAATTGTGAAGAAGAATTTACTGATGTTTTTGAGACATCTGAAACCTTTGAACAATATCAAGAAAATGGTTAGTAATATTTATATCATTTTTTTTTATTTGAATAATTATATTTGTTGTAATGACTACAGTAAATGTGTGAATAGCCTAGTTTTATATCATCTCATCATGTTATTTGTGGTTATATTTTTATATTTATATTTTGTGGTTTTTGCAGTTATTGCAGTTTTTAGTTATTAATTATTTGTATGGGTAAATTAAATTAAATTAAAAAATTGCTTTTTTTTGTTTTTGCTAATATTATTGTTTATTTTTTATTGTTGAATAAATTTCTTTTAGAGGACTGTGGCAGTGTCATTCAAGCTTGTTCTTTATCTAAAAAGCCTTTGAAAAACAAACTGTTTTCAAAGTTGGTAACTCATCAAGATCAACCATCTTTAGAAGCAGATTATATTGAAAGATATCATTCAAAACCTTTTACACATATTTCTTCTAAAAAGGTATTTAAAAAAAGTATTTAAAGTTTTTAAAGAAGTAGTTACTAAATAAAGTACTGAATGGATGAATATCTGAGTGAATGAACACTCTTCATAAAAAGTATTTAGACCCTGTTTTTCTCCTTTTAAAGCAGGTGGTAAATGAGAAATTTGAAATTTAAGTTGTTTAAATTTGTGCTAGTATAATATACCATTGAAAATTTAAAAAAGTTTATAGCATGTATATGTACAGTTGTTTAAACTGAAGGGACAGTTACTTAAACTCAAGGGACAGTTATTTAAACTCAAGGGATAGTTATTTAAACTCAAGGAACAGTTATTTAAACTCAAGGGACAGTTAAAGAGAAAAAAAGAAATGCTATAAGCAGTTATTTTCTCAGTGTAAAATTCTTAACAAAGTAAAAATTAATAAAGTAAATAATAAATAATGAAATTAACGCAATTAAACAAATTTAAAAAAAAGTTTTACCTGTAGGCTAAAATAATAGAACTAAAATAAATAAAATAGTTATAATGAATCACTGTGCATTTTTTAAAATAAAATACCTTGCTGTTGAATGTTTTTTAGCATTAAAAAACAATTTGTTAATCTAGTTTTTGAACAAATAAAATAGAGTTAACCTTGTAAGAAGGTTTTTTGATATTAACTTTTTCAAAAGCTTGTCAAAGTCTTTTATTATTATTTATTGATCTAATTAAACTTATAAACCTCTAAGAGACACAAGTATATGCTAAAAGTTATTCCTTGGTATGATCTAAATTTAAATAATATTACCAATTAGTATTACCATTTAATATTACCATTTAATATTACCAAAACAGTCATGACATTTATATAAATATGCTATGCTTCTTAATAATCTGATCAAATATTTTTCAGCAAAATGCAAAAGCAAGATAAAATCCATACATTTAGATAACAGACAAATGTATGATTTTTAGTTATAAAACAAAATTAAATTGTATTATAAAACTTAATTTAGTTTGCTATAAATCGTAATATATTATTATTTTTATCGTAAATCGTAATTATTATATTCGACTGCTAAAGCTTTGTTAAATAAATTAAAAACATAAAATATAAAATATATAATATATAATATAAAATATAAAATTAAAACACAGCTTTAATATTAAACCGTTTTATTAAATAAACATATTTTTTTAGTAATGTATTCTAATAAAAACTTTAATAGTAAAACATTTTTTTGACTAAATGGGTTTATCAATTTTTTCTTGTGTAATCTTACTCCACTTGAATTTAGTAACTTTATATAACTCATCAGCGTTTTAGCAGTGTTCTTTGTGTTTAAAAAAAATTCAGCATGATGCCATAAATTTTTAATCAGTGAGGTTAGGTGATTGGGCTGGTTGCTTCATTTCTTCAATTTGATTCATTTCAAACCATAATTTAATGAGTTTGGATGCGTGTTTCAGATTGTTGTATAATTGAAATGTCTATAGAAGAGGCATTTTATTATAAGCACGAGGAACCATTTTTTCCTTAAGAATATCACAATAAGCAAAATGTCATTATGCCATTTATTCAATAATCCACTAGGTCCAACTCCACTAAAACACGAAAAAAAAACCCAGTTGTGCATATAGGATCCGAACATTTACCTTCATAATAACAATTTGAAGGTCTATGTTACTTCAAATTGCCATGATGATCTTTGAAATTGTACTATGATTCATTGCTCCCCACAACTCAACCCAACTACCACAACTCTTTTCCTATCATTAATAGTCCAGTGTTGAGCATTTGCAAAAACATTTCTAGCTTTTTGCAATTTTTTTTTTTGCTTTTTGATTCTTTGGCGAAATAAAATTTATTTTTTGCTGCTCTAAGGTTCAAAAGTCTCGAAGTTGAAATTGTCTGCAATTGTATTCAGACATTAAAAAATTCAATTTTTGTATAGTATTATTTCCATTGTCAAAAATAAACAAGATTTTTTGCATGGTCTTCTGCTTTGTTTTTGAACGACTGCTTTTATTAAATCATTTTATTATTCAACATACAATTGACTTTAATTTTAATGAATAATATTTGATTAGCATTAATGAAGTATTATGTAACAATTATAAAAAAATTGACTTCTTTCTTATAATCTTTGATAATTCAACTTGTTTCCTGCCATTATAAAGGACCAATGTTCTAAAAAATGGATTGTAAAAAAGAAGTCCTTGATATTGTTGGTTTGTTTACCAAAACAACACAAAACTCTGATCTCAATATCATTCCTTATAATACAACACCGACAGCAAATATTATTTATAATATTTGGAATATTTTAAAATTATTTATAATATTTGGAAGATTTTTACACTGAAATAACAATACGTACAAAGCAACATATTTATACTTGTATTATATATATTTATGTTTATTCTTGTATTATATACAAATCTTTTCCTTATTTGTAATATTAACTATTTGGTTTGGTTTAAAAGTTTTTTTTTTTTACAAAAAAAAAAAAATGCTCTTTACAGTAAATGTAGTTGAAAAAATAGAATTTTTTGTTTATTTGCTTATGTTTTGAAGGACAGTATGGGTTATTTAAAAAAATGTTAAAAAACATTATGTTAATGCAATAAATTTTTTTTAATTTAATGCTCCCTCACCCTAAGGAGGAGACTGATTTTTTATTTTTAACTAAAAACAACAAGATTATAAAAATAAAACAGAAAAACAAAATAAACATTTTTTAAATTATTGAATGTTTTTAAATTATTAAATAAGGATAAAAGAAAAAAAAAACAAAAGTTAATAATAGCAATAGTAGTATTAATATTAATAACATAATAATAATAATTACAATGATATTAATAATTGCAGTAGTAATAATAAAAATAGTTATTAAATATAATAAATATAATTATTATAATCTAAAGTTTTACGTATTATTAGAAAATAAAAATAAAAACATAAAAAATTAATATAAAAATAATAAATATTGGAAATATAAAAAAGAAGTTAATGTAAATAATAATGAAGAAGTAACTTAAGACAGTTACAGTACAGAAAGAAATTATAAAGAAATAAACTTAAAAATGTCTTTTGCGTAATAAGTAATCTACAAAAGGATGTTTTTCTCCAGACTTTTTTTTATTGCAGGAGTATACTGGTGCCATTGGAATACACAGTGTTTTCTGGAATACTTGCCATATTTGATTATATTAAAAAAATATATTATGCATATATATATATATATATATATATATATATATATATATATATATATATATATATATATATATATATATATATATATATATATATATAAAAGAAATATTTTTTATTATTTTAAAGTAAAATTGATTAAAGTAATTTTATATTGTTTAATTTTCAATTTTAGAGTTTATCGTTCAATTCAAATCACTCTTCTGCATATATTTTGAAACCTTATATTTTGAACACATCCTCAAAAAATAAAAGAGACAAAACACCATTTAGTTTAAAGAAAAAAAGTTTTTCCATTGAACCTGTTCTTCATGAAAGTTTTGAACCCATAAAAGATTTATCATGTATATCAATAACAATAGAAGACAAAATAGTTGAAACTGATGAGTGTGAGTTGGCTAATGAGTTTTTAAATAAAGCTGACAAAAATGTGGACAATGACAATTTTGTTTTAGTTGAAAATTCTCAAAAATTGAAAATGCTCTATTGCAATTTTTTGGGCACATCAAGTGGGTACAACACCCAAAATCAGGTTATCTGGTCATCAAAATCAGACGCAATTTCTAATGGCAAAAGTTTTATTGATGTTAAGAAAAGCAAATTGAGTATGCCTTTAACGCCTTCCAAAACATTCAAGATAAAAAATGATGTATCTTTTAAGGAAACAAATGTTTTGCAATATGATAAACAAAAAGCTCAACAATATATCATTAACCTTGGTAAAACTACATCTTCTAATCAGTCATTAACAAAATCTTATCAAAAAAAAAACAATATAGATGATGATTTTTTTGTAGTAGATTATAATGATATACCACATCATAACTCAGAGTTAGAAAACTCGTTAGAAATAACTCCTGGTAGAGTACTTGTTGAGGATGAAAACGGTGAATTAAGAAGTTTTGAACTGAGTATTGAGAAGAGTGTTGATTCAATAGCTAGCAATATATTTGAAAACTATGTTGTTATATCAGTTAAAGATGACAAAAACAATGATCAAACTTATGACAACTTTGAATCATCAATTAACAACAGCTATGACTCATCATATAACCTACAACAATTCTCACCCAACACTTCTTCTAAACTACTGACAAGTTCTGGGCATAATGAACTCAATAACAACTTCTCAAAAATGAAAGATAATAAATTGATAGAAAAGCTACCACCTTTAAAATCAGGTGAGAAATCATTTTCATTTAGGCAAATGTTTCAAACTGTTAAAGGTGAAAAAATCAATGATACTTATATAAAAGATGAAGACATGAAACCAGAAGGAATGTTTGCTAAATTTAATTTGAATGCAAAAAATAAAGAAAAAAGTAATAATGTAGTTGCTGTAGAGACAAAAGAAATTAAAGACCAATTGGAAAACAGAATCTTTTTAAAGTTAGATATAGATAAAGAAAATAAAAAAATCAAAAAAGATAATGAAGAAGAGTTTGTTGTTTTAGAGGAAGAGAAAAAAGAGAAGATTTTAGCATCAGAAAGCTCATTAGAACTAAACAATGCAGATAATAAACAAAACGATTTCAAACAAAACCTTGAAAACAATTTGAATTTATTAAATTCTTCACCAGGTGTTTACAAATTTGTATATAAGAATTCAGAAAAAAAAGAAGGTATCATCACTCCTAATAATGCTATGGAACAAAATGATGTTTCTTTTGAATTAGGAGCTGTACATTTATTAAACACTGAAAAAAAACAAACAATGACTGTTGTTGTGAATAACCTTAAATTAACACATGATACAACAGAAGATGAGATGAATGACACGACAAAGGATAAAAAACATAATACAACAGATATGAAAGATGATATAGCACAGGACATAAAAAGATTTTGTATAAACTATAATGCTCACTTTGAATTTTTTATAATTGCTCAGGAAAAAAATGTTGGAAACGTTGTTTTATTTATAAAAGAATTCTACAATGATTTAAGGAGACTTTTTGTTGGAGTTGACAGTGGCATTATTGGAAGAGTAGTTTTTATAACAGAATATGTCTCAAAAGATGAAAATCCACATTTTTACATAGATTTAAATAGTAATAATGCTCAAAAGATAATTGATACAAATAGCAATATTATTACAAAGGAAATAAATATAAATACAAAAGAAAAGCTCATTCGTGCAATAGTTGTCCAATATAATACTAACATGTATGATGAGGAAAAATCAAAAGTGTCTCTTTGCTTCAAAAGCAAAGATTTTATTAATCTTAGTAATAGAGAAACCTCTCTGATCCAAATTAAAAATGATCAAGACAAAAGCAACGAACCCTTAATTGCAAAGGAAATAATTACAAAGAAACCAAGAGTTTCTGAGTCAAATGCTAATAGTATTTTTTCAATTTTAGAACCCGAGCAATCAATTGAATATATACCAACTGTTGAATTTCAACCAGTTTTTGACCTGTTTGCTAAAGATTCAGATTCCAATATTCAATCAAAAGAATTTAAAGATGAACTTGATGTTAGTAATTTTATTTTTGTGAAAGAAAATAAGAAATCATTATTTGTTGAACCTGAAGTAATATTTAGCAAGGAGAATAATGTTAACAATAATATTTTTGATGAATCGGTACTTGCAAAAGCAACAGTTGAAAAAAAGCTTGAAATTTCTGCTTCCAAGTCATTTAATAGTAGTATTCTTCCTGTATTTGAACCCAAGCAATCAGTTGGATATATAGCAGCTATTGAATTTCAACCAGATTTTAATGATGATCGATTCATTAATGATACAGATTCCAATAATCAATCAAAAGAAATCAAAGACGAACTTAAATTGAATAGTTTTGTTCTCATGAAAGAAAATGTCAAGGAATTGTTTGTTGAACCTGAAGTAATATTTAGCAAGAAAAATAATGTTAATAATAATATTTTTGATGAATCTGTACTTGCAAAAGAAACAGTTAAAAAGAAGCTTGAAATTCCCCATTCCAAGTCAATTTATAGTAGCATTCTTCCTGTTTTCGAACCTGAGCAATCAATTGGATATACAGCAGCTGTTGAATTTCAACCAGTTTTTGATAATGACTTATTTATTAATGATACAGATTCCAATATTCAATCAAAAGAAATTGAAGATAAACTTGATGTTAGTAAATTTATTTTTGTGAAAGAAATTAACAATTCATTATTTGTTGAACCTGAAGTAATATTTAGCAAGGAAAGTAATGTTAACAATAATGTTTTTGATGAATCTGTACTTGCAAAAGAAACAGTTGAAAAGAAGCTTGAAATTCCTGAATATAAGTCAATTAATAGTAGCATTCTACCTGTTTTCGAACCTGAGCAATCAATTGAATATATAGCAGCTGTTGAATTTCAACCAGTTTTTAATGATGACTTATTTAATAATGGTACAGATTCCAATATTCAATCAAAAGAAATCATTGATGAACTTGATTTGAATAATCTTGTTTTTATGAAAGAAAATGTCAAGGAATTGTTTGTTGAACCTGAAGTTATATTTAGCAAGGAAAGTAATGCTAACAATAATGTTTTTAATGAGTTTGTGCTTGCAAAAGAAACAGTTGAAAAGAAGCTTGAAATTCCTGATTCCAAATCATTTGATAGTAGCATTCTGCCTGTATTTGAACCCGAGATATCAGTTGGATATATAGCAATTGTTGAATTTCAACCAGTTTTTAATGATGACTTGTTCATTAATGATACAGATTCCAATATTCAATCAAAAATAATTGAAGATGAACTTGATGTTAGTAATTTTGTACTTATGAAAGAAAATAACAAATCATTATTTGTTGAACCTGAAGTAATATTTAGCAAGAAAAATAATGTTAACAGTAATGTTTTTGATGAATCTGTACTCGCAAAAGAAACAATTGAAAAGAAGCTTGAATTTCCTGATTCTAAATCAATTGATAATAACATTTTGCCTGTATTTGAATCGGAGCTATCAGTTGGATATATAGCAGCTGTTGAATTTCAACCAGTTTTTAATGACGATTTATTCATTAATGATACAGATTCCAATATTCAATCGAAAGAAATCATAGACGAACTTGATTTGAATAATTTTGTTCTTATGAAAGAAAATGTCAAAGAATTGTTTGTTGAACCTGAAGTAATATTTAGCAAGGAAAGTAATGCTAACAATAATGTTTTTGATGAGTTTGTGCTTGCAAAAGAAACAGTTGAAAAGAAGCTTGAAATTCCTGATTCCAAATCATTTGATAGTAGCATTCTGCCTGTATTTGAACCCGAGATATCAGTTGGATATATAGCAACTGTTGAATTTCAACCAGTTTTTAATGATGACTTGTTCATTAATGATACAGATTCCAATATTCAATCAAAAATAATTGAAGATGAACTTGATGTTAGTAATTTTGTACTTATGAAAGAAAATAACAAATCATTATTTGTTGAACCTGAAGTAATATTTAGCAAGAAAAATAATGTTAACAGTAATGTTTTTGATGAATCTGTACTCGCAAAAGAAACAATTGAAAAGAAGCTTGAATTTCCTGATTCTAAATCAATTGATAATATCATTTTGCCTGTATTTGAATCGGAGCTATCAATTGGATATATAGCAGCTGTTGAATTTCAACCAGTTTTTAATGACGATTTATTCATTAATGATACAGATTCCAATATTCAATCAAAAGAAATCATAGACAAACTTGATTTGAATAATTTTGTTCTTATGAAAGATTATGTCAAAGAATTGTTTGTTGAACCTGAAGTAATATTTAGCAAGGAAAGTAATGCTAACAATAATGTTTTTGATGAATCTGTACTTGCAAAAGAAACAATTGAAAAGAAGCTTGAAATTCCTGATTCCAAATCATTTGATAGTAGCATTCTGCCTGTTTTTGAACCTGAGCAATCAATTGGATATATAGCAGCTGTTGAATTTCAACCAGTTTTTAATGATGATTTATTCATTATTGATACAGATTCTAATATTCAATCAAAAGATATTGAAGATGAACTTGATGTTAGTAAATTTATTTTTGTGAAAGAAAATAACAAATCATTATTAGTTAAACCTGAAGTTATATTTAGCAAGGAAAGCAATGTTAACAATTATGTTTTTGATGAATCTGTACTCACAAAAGAAACAATTGAAAAGAAGCTTGAAATTCCTGATTCCAAGTCAATTGATAGTAGCATTCTACCTGTTTTCGAACCTGAGCAATCATTTGGATATATAGCAACTGTTGAATTTCAACCAGTTTTTAATGATGACTTATTCATTAACGATACAGATTTCAATATTCAATCGAAAGAAATCATAGATGAACTTGATTTGAATAATTTTGTTCTTGTGAAAGAAAATAACAAATCATTATTTGTTGAACCTGAAATAATATTTAGCAAGAAAAAAAATGTTAACAATAATGTCTTTGATGAATCTGTAATTGCAAAAGAAACAATTGAAAAGAAGCTTGAAATTCCTGATTCCAAGTCAATTGATAGTAGCATTCTACCTGTTTTCGAACCTGAGCATTCAATTGGACATATTGCAGCTGTTGAATTTCAACCAGTTTTTAATGATGACTTATTCATTAATGATACAGATTCCAATATTCAATCAAAAGAAATCATAGATGAACTTGATTTGAATAATTTTGTTCTTGTGAAAGAAAATAACAAATCATTATTTGTTGAACCTGAAGTAATATTTAGCAAGAAAAATAATGTTAACAATAATGTTTTTGATGAACCTGTAATTGCAAAAGAAACAATTGAAAAGAAGCTTGAAATTCCTGATTCCAAGTCAATTGATAGTAGCATTCTACCTGTTTTCGAACCTGAGCATTCAATTGGACATATTGCAGCTGTTGAATTTCAACCAGTTTTTAATGATGATTTATTCATTAATGATACAGATTCCAATATTCAATCAAAAGAAATCAAAGACGAGCTTGATTTGAATAATTTTGTTCTTATGAAAGAAAATGTCAAGGAATTGTTTGTTGAACCTGAAGTAATATTTAGCAAGGAAAGTAATGCTAACAATAATGTTTTTGATGAATCTGTGCTTGCAAAAGAAACAGTTAAAAATAAGTTTGAAGTTCCTGATTCCATGTCAATAGATAGTAGTATTTCTCCTGTATTTGAACATGAGCAATCAGTTGGATATAATGCAACTGTTGAATTTCAACCAGTTTTCAATGATGACTTATTCATTAGTGATACAGATTCCAATATTCAATTAAAAGAAATCAAAAATGATCTTGATTCGAATAATTTTGATCTTGTTCAAGAAGTCAAGGAGTCATTTGTTGAACCTGAAGTTATTTTCAGCAAAGTAAATGTAGTTAACACTAAAGGTATTGATGAACCAATAATCAGAAAGGAGGCACTTGAGTTCAAAATTTCTACTGAAAACAATTTATATATTCATCATTTAGGTAATATTAGCTGCAATTCAAATCCGCACTCTGATGATAAAACATTTTTGTCTAACAACTTGATGCCGTTATATAGTTTACTTTCAGTTTCAAAAGATAATTTGGAGAATGTTGTTGATTTAAGTTTTTCTGAATCTTCCTCTGATGATGAAGATTACTGTAATAATCCTAGTAATATTGATTCTATTGATGCTGGTGAAGATGCAGATGATGATGGTGACAGTGATGATGGTATTAATGAATATATTTTAGCTGATCAGTCAGAAGTAGATGAACATATATGTTTTAAAAATGTTTCAAAAATTGTTGATAAAAATGTTGACTACGATGATAGAGTTTTTGTTTCAAATGATAATGGAGATAATGATGGTAGGAGAATTGATAGAATAGAACAACAGATAGGTCTGTCAGGTTTTTCTTTTCCTCAAGTATTTATAAGAAAACATGCTGATTTACCTAAAATGGACAACAGTGATAATAAAGATAATAAAGAAATCGGAGTAACTAAACAAATTTCTCAAATGAATGATGTCCTTAAAGCTTTACAGTTTAACCTTTTAGGTAATAACACATCAAGTGATGAGGAAGAGTTCATTGTTTTTGATCAAACAGAAAAAGAATTTAATGTTCCTCAAAGCGACACAGAGGAGCATGGGAATGAAGAGTATGAATTTGTAAATGCAGATTTGATTCCTTTACAAAGTACTCATTCTGCATGGTTATTGCATCAAGCTAATGAAAGTGTAGATAATAATATATTGTATGGTTGCATAGAACCAATAGAATTTGAAGACTTAACAACTTCAGTTATCAATGAAGTAGAAGTTCTAGATTGTTCAATAAAACTTTGGGCAACTGAAGTTTTTGAAGAAGAAATTTTGGAAAAAGTCAATGAAATTGAAACTTTAATAGCGGATAATTATGAATTATGTAATGTTGAAATTTTAGAATCTCTAACATTTAAAGAGTCTTTTGTTAATATGTTTTTTTCTGAAAATGCTGCTGTAGAAAATTTTGCAATTCAAGATTTAAATTACAATAAAAAAGCTGATACTTTATATACATATGGAGCTAATGATGTTGGTATTACTCCGTCTGACCTATGCTCTATAAATTCAGTACAGGTTGTGAATAATGAGGATATTCCTTTTAACCTTTGTAATGCTAAAACACTCTATTGTGATGTAGGAACTGATCATCATGATGGCTGTAAATATTGTGATGTTGGAACTGATCCAATTGTTTTAGAAAATGTTTCGTTTTTAAATATTCTAAACCAGAAAAAATCATTTAAGAATGATGATGATGGCATAGATGAAAATAATCTTAAATCTTCTGAAGATAATAATTTTAAATCATTTAAAGAAAAGAAACTTGAATCATTTGAAGAAAAGAAACTTGAATCATTTGAAGAAAAGAAACTTGAATCATTGAAAGAAAGGAAATCTTCTGAAATAGTTTATGTTCAATCATTTGAAGTAGAAAAGTTAAAATCAGCTGAGAAGGAGAAGATGCAATTATTTGATGAGAAAAGACTCAGCTCAACTTTTGTTGAGATGCTTGAATCGTCTTTAGCAGAGGAACTAGGATCAAATGAAGACAAGAATCAACTGAATCTTGAATCAATTGCAGTAGTTAAGCTTAGACTATTTGAAGTAGAGGAGTCATTTAAAAACGAAAAGCTTGAACCATTAGTAGAAAAGAAATTTGAATCTATAATATCGAATGATAATTTGTTAGAAGTAGAACAGTTTAAATCTGCGGAAGAAGAAGATATTAAATTGTCTGAAATAGAGATGCTTGAATCATTTGATATAGAGACACTTAATTCATCTGAAAAAGAAATGTTTGAATCATCCTTAGAAAATAAGTGTGAATCATCTGAAGATAAGAACCTTGCATCATCTAAATTAGAAATGGATAGCTTATCTGTATTTGAGATGCATGATTTATCTGTAACGGAGAAACTTGGGTTAATTAAAGACGAAAAGCCTAAATTATTTGAAGAAGAGGAGGTTGATACACTAAATAAAGAGAAACTTGAATCTTCTGAAGTAAAACAATTAAAATTATTTGAAGTAGAACTTAAATCAGTTGAGGAAGAGAAACTTGAATCATCATCAAAAGTGAAACTGGAATCATCATTAGAAGAGAATCTTGAATCTTTTAAAGTAGAGAATGTTAAATTGTTTGAAGTAGAGATGTTTAATCCAAATAAAAAAGAGGCGTTTAGGCTGCCTGCAGAACAGAAGCTTGAGTTACTTGATGAGGAGGTACTAAATTCATTTGAAGTAGAGGTGCTTGAATCTTCTTTAAAGGAAAAGCTTGAGTTATCTGAAAATGATACATTTGAATCAACTGAAGAAGTAAAGCTTGAATCATTTAAAGTAGAAAAAACTAAATTATTTGAAGATAAGCTTTCTTTATTTGAAGCAGAGATGCTTAAGTTGTCTGACACAGAGAAACTTGTGTTATCTGAAACAGAAATGGTTAAATTATCTGATGCAGAGAAAATTGTGTTATCTGAAACAGAAATGGTTAAATTATCTGATGTAGAGAAAATTGTGTTATCTGACACAGAGAAGCTTGAGTTATCTCAAGAAGAAAAGCTTAAATCATTTAAAGTAAAAAGTTTTAACTTATCTTTTACAGAGGTTGAGCCATGTAATGAAGAAAAGCTTGAATTTTTTGAAGAAGATAAGCTTGAAGTATTTAAAGGTGATACTCAATATTTTTTTTAATGCTAACTTTAAACTTTTTAATTTTTTTTAACTTGATTAAAAAAAAAATTAAAAGTTTTAAATTATTATTATAAATGAAGTTTTTTCATTTTGAGATTTTATTGTATACAAATTTAATATAGTTTGTCAAGAAAACAAAGAATTGTTAAAAGACAAAGAAAACATTGAAAATCTTGAAGTATTTATACTCATTCTTTTTTTCTTATTTTTTAAAAATAGAAATTTGTATAATTAATTTTTTGATATATATATATATATATATATATATATATATATATATATATATATATATATATATATATATATATATATATATATATATATGTATATATATTTTAGTACAAAGTACTTATTAATATAAAGTTAAAGACTGGAATAAAATTTCATACTGTTATATATATTTACTAAACTAATAATATTTACTAAACTCGGTAGATGTCTCTTTTGGTAAGAAAAACTAAAATGGATTTGGAAAAACAACTTCAAGGATTGATCGAAAAATCCTCACTTTGGTTAAAAATTCTGTGAGACCAAATGTAACCAGTATTGCAAAACAACTCAGAGAATTTGAGTTAATCAATATATGTACTCCAGCTGTTAGAAACAGGCTGCATGAGTATGATTTACATGGTAGAGCACTTGCCAAAATTGTTACTTTCTAAATGACATAATTCAAAGTGGCTTGTATTTGCAAAGAAGTCTCGATTAATGATTGGGAGAAGGTACTATGAAAGATCAGATGAAACAAAAATATGTCTTCATAGTTTAGATGGTAGACATTGGACATAGAAAAGACCGGGCGAATTAATGCAATAAAAGCATGTTAAAGAGACAATAAAGTATGACAAGTATGTCATGGCATAGGGATGCTTCAGTTGGAATGGTGTGGGAAGTATTCATGCTATAGAAGATACATTGACTTTACCTAAGTATGTTAAAATACTTTCAAATCATATGCTACTATCTGCCCAAGAATCATTCAATGGAGAATTCATATTCCAACAGGATGGTGATTCTAAACAGATAAAAAATACTAAAAGCTCAAGGCAAAAATTTCAGGTGTTAGATAGGCCAGCACTAAGTCCAGACTTGAATTCAAAAACCTATGGAAAGTAGTTAAGAAAGTATTGACAAAAAAAGACAATATTAAAGAAGCACTCAGAAAATGCTAGAATTCTATAGATACATAGATACAACAACGTGTAACAGCCTGATTGAGTAGATACCTATGAGAATCAAAGAAGTATTAAGTAATAACTTAATATTGAAGAAATAAATGATAGAGAAAATTTTTTTTATATCTGGATACTTTTTTCCCACAGTCATTTTAGTTTTTCTTACCAAAAGAGATATCTACCTAGTGCAATAATTGTTTGATGGAACATTTAGATAAAACTTGTCAAGAGCTACAAATGTATATATCTATAACAGTATGAGGTTTTGTTTTTGTTTGAGGTTTATAGACATATATCTAAAAATAGTTTGTCTGGATACTTTTTTTGTAACTGTATATATGTTCATCAGAACCTGATAAACTTTTACGTATTACAAATGAAGCATTATTACGTTAAAGGCCTAAATCAATAATATGGGTTATTTTACTTAATAAATCTAAAATATATAGTCCAACTAATTCACAAATTTCTGCTCCATCATAAATGCCCATTATTACATCTAATAAGTCATGTATGTTTTTCTTTTTCCAAGTTTCCTTATTAAAATAAAGTAAGGTTTTGTTGCAATGTTTTATAATTATTATTATTCTGCAAAGTTTTATTGTCACTTCTGGTATAAATGTGAAGATTTTTTTAAATTCAATTGTTTTATCTAAAATATGAGCGTTTATTAAAAGATAAAAATATTGATAATTTTATATTGAATTGGTCTATCCTTAAAACACCACCTGCATATAATAAAATTTTTAAAAAGTACATATTATGTCTACAAAAAAAATTTGAAATAATTATGCATGCAAACCAAGAGTGTTTATTAAATAGAAAATTAGAATTGATTTCTAAATGCAGGCATGAAAATAAGTTTCTTTTAAAAGACTAAATTAAGTGAGCTCAAAAAATAATAATTATAAAAAAATAGATTTTTAAAAAAAGCCGAAGTAAACAATTCTTTTTATAATAGTGTAAACATATTTTCTACAAATGTGTGAAATTTACAATAGGACATTTAAGACTTCCTGTAATTTAATTTTTGGTATAAATTGAAGTTTTATTAATTTGATCATTCATTTCTGATGAGTCTTAATAGATGAAAGACTGTGTAAAATGAAAAAAATTGAGATTGAGCCCTCTATTTTGTAGAACACATTTCAAATTATTTGTATATGTATACACACACACACACATATATATACATTAGGGTGTCTCATAAATTTTTGAAAAATATATGCTGCCACCCCCTTAATGTGTTCTACATTATAAAAAAAATACTGGATTTTTTTGAATAAATTTATTTTTTAGGAGTCCCTCCAGACTCTTCCTAATATAATCATAAAAAAGTTCTTCAAAATCATATTGAGTCTCAAATTTAACAAAGTTATATGAAAACTATTATTCAAAAATTTTTAAAATCCAGTATTTTTTTTTTAATTATATTGAACACATTAAGGGAGTGCCAGTATATATTTTTCAAAAATGTTGTTTTTAGGGACACCCTAATATATATTACTAGAATAAACATACATATATTTCAAAAAAAACAACCCGTGTCAAAACCTTTTTTTACTACTTTTTAGTATTCTTTTTACATTATAAACCACAAAAACTATTTTGGATGTAGCATATATTTTAGATCTTCCATAAAAACCATTAAATTTCATAATTTAAGCCAATTTTGAGTTAAAAATGAAAATAATCGATCTACTAGGTTAAATCTACTACAACTACATCTAAACTAGGTTAAATTTAAACTGGGTTAAACTTAAACCAGGTTAAATTTAAACTGGGTTAAGTTTAAATTAGGTTAAATTTAGACTAGGTTAAATTTAAACGAGGATAAATTAAATGTAGGTTAAATTTAAACTAGGTTAAAAAAAACATCTTTTTAAAGATTCTTATACTAAGTAAACAACAAATAAAATTATTTTTTTTTCAAAGATTTTACTATTTCTTTGCTTAAGTACCATAATTGACATCCATTTACACTGGGAGCTACCTTGGGATTACACTGGGGTTATTAGTTGAATGGTAGTCTGTAATTGTATGAAGTTCAAATTGATACTCGGAGCATTGCATGCATTTGGAGATCCAAGCCTTCAGATGAGTCAGTGTGACAAAAAAACTGAACTCTAAACTCTGCTTTCATACTTTTTCAGTTTAAATCCGTGTTAAAACAAAAATATCTTCAAGCGTAAAACAACTTTAACCTTCTCTTATGATGGATTGGAACTCTGAAACTAGCACCCAGGAATTCTGGATTGGAACTCTGAAACTAACACCCCTTGCAAGACAATATCCCAGTAAAAAACAAATTTAACATCCCTCTCTAGTGATGAAATGCATCAGTAACTCTGAAGCCAACATCCCTTGCAAAGCAATGTCCCAGAGAAATAACATGAGTATAAGAAGTTCTTCATAATCTTTGTTTGGAAGACATCCTTCAAATTCAAGTAGGGCTTCTTGTTTGAGAAAATGATCATTTCATCAAATTTCATTTTAAATTTAAAAATGAAATTTTATAACAAAGTCATAAAATTTTATTTTCAAATTTGAGTAGCCACCCTGTTAAAGCTACATTTGTTTGCTGAAAGTATGTGTTACTGTTGTGAGAAAGAACACAGCTTTTTTGTTGCTGATGTTTGTATGATCCAACATTTCTGCAACTTTTAAAGTTGCGGCAAAGTTTCAACATCAGTAATTTTCAATTTGCATGTGTTGTTTTGTGAGTTTATAAACATACACGTCTATCCGCATTTTCATTATAGTGGCAATTATTACTAACACAGTACAACTATGTTAGTAATAGTGATAGTGGCAACTCTTCCCGTTATCTCTTAATGAGAGTATAGCTCTAATACTTAGTTTAGTATTTCTAAGGCTGGCTTGTAGTAAGCTTTTTGAAACTCTGTGGTAGCTTAGAGAGGCTGATTACATCAACAGTAGTAAAATTTCAGAGTGTTAACAGTGCCATGTTGCTCATTAATGGTGATCCTTTTAATGCTTTTGGTCCACATTGCCAAGACCACATAAGATGCTCTAAGTTATAACTTGGGTTAGTTAGAATTGAGACAACTGCATAGCTCATTGCTTGGGATGCGGTGTTCTATCTATGAATGAGTCAAGTTCTCTTTAAACTTAAATCATGCCAAAAGTAAACCTAAATATATAAAACATAAAAAACCATTCCTACCATCTAACTGTTTTAATATATCTTTTACATTCATGGACTGTGAAGGACTTTTCCATCAGTTGAATCTCACCACTTTCAAAATTTGCTAGACTTGCTTGCTCTTTGTGAGACTACTTTAAGTTCCTCTGTTCCTTCTTTAGATCTTAGTGTCAATTGGTGCTATCCTTTATATTTGCAAAAACTCCAATAGTCACAAGCTTTACTTACAGGTATACATACGCATCAATTCACTTATTTGTCTTAAAATCTGGTTTGAATCCTTTGGCTATTTTTATATGTGCTTCCGCTTAGCTCCTCTTCACTCTATCACCTTTCTCTTTTTTTTTTTTTGTTCTCCTCCTTTTCAAGATTGCACTCTTTTAGATATGATTTCTAATCAAATCGACCATGCTCTTTCTTTTTATCCTTTACAGCTAATATTGTTTTTATTGGAGACTTTAATGCTCATTACACTAAATGTCTTGGCTCTAACACCACTGACTCTGTTGGCACTAAAGCCTTAACTTTTGCATTTCTCAATCTCTTATTCAGATAGTCAACTTTGTGACTCATTTTCCAGACAACCTTAATCACTTACCTTCACTTCTTGGTTCGTATTTTGCCTCTGACCCTAACTTGTGTTCAGTATCTCTTTTTTCTCACCCTATAATTGCACTACTTATTACTACCCTAAAGCTGACTGGGATTTTCCTTTATCATTCCTTTCCTGATTTATATCATGGCGGTCCTTGGGCTGATGTCTTTTGTCTCTCTGCTGATAAATATGCTTCCTGCAGAACTTTCTGAATCCAGGCAGGAATGTATGCTTTTATTCCT